GGCTGCTTTTTCCTTTTTTATTTTTTTTCCCTCCCTCCTCTCGGAAGGGTTAAGTTTGCACCCCAGCCCAGCTTCCTCCCCACCCGTTCCTTCTCGCTCTCTATTTCTGCGGGCTGCGGCGCGGAGCAGCCGGGCGGAGCGCTGCCCGTGCCCCGGGCAGCCTTCCCCTCGTGCCTTCCCCTCGTCCGCCACCATGTCCAAAGTGGGGGCGGCGGAAAGTTGCGGCTCGGCGCCGTGCGAGGACTTGTCCAAGGTGTCCGACGAGGAGCTGCTCCAGTGGAGCAAGGAGGAGCTGGTCCGCAGCCTGCGCCGCGCCGAGGCCGAGAAGATGAGCGCGATGCTGGACCACAGCAACCTCATCCGCGAGGTGAACCGCCGCCTCCAGCTGCACCTCGGCGAGATCCGTGGCCTCAAGGTAGCGGGAGATGCGGGGAGCGGTGGGCGTGGGGCCCGCGCATGGAGAACAGCCCCGCGTGGGTTGTGTTGTCCCGAGTGGTGTCACCTAGATTTTGTCAGTCGCTGTGCTGATCCCCTCCCCATGACAGGCACCAAAAGTGGCCAGGATTTGAAGTCACTTAAAAGCAAGGTGCCCAGTTAAGAGTGACAAACTCCCCAGCAGTATGTGGAGCACGGCGGCTCCATGTGTCCCATGGTGCCTTGAGGCCAAGGAAATGTCTAAGCCCCATCACCTCGTTGCTTTCTAGTAAGATTCAGTGTTTCTCTCTGGGCACCTGTGGAAGGATGCTGTGAGGCTGTGGAGGTTCAAAAGGCTTTGCGCCGCACATCCTCTTTCCTGTACCCTCTCTCTTTTTTTTTTTTTTTTCCTTAAGACAACTTATTGTTGACCTTCTAGTAATGAGAATCATTCCCTAGTTTCCCTGTTTGAAAAGGATGTCAGAGGATGTATCTCTAATGAAATTGTTTTCAATGCTGTGCTGCCACCAACTGCAGGGAGAGACAGCCTGAGGCTATAGTGATTTATCCCTTCCCAACCCAGCTCCCCTGCTAGGTGGGAAGCAGAGCGCCTGGTGCCTCCTTCTCTGCTTCTGAGTGTTGGGGAGGCAGTGGGGCTGCTGCCTGCTGTAGCATGTGCCGCTGTAGTGGACAACCAGGTTATTTAAAAGGAGGTGTTACACGGCTTGTTGCTGTGACACATGGCACTTAGCGTGAAATTCCTTGGTTGAGGTGAGCTTGGAAAGAAGGAGACCCAGATCGCAGCGTGTGGCCTTTTGAGTTCATGCTATGTGAGTACAGTATGTGGGTACAGCAGGGAAGGAGAGATTATGACTTCTAGAATGGTTCTAGAGAACAAAATTATTGAGAAAATGTCTCTGATCCAAGATTTCCTGTTCTGCAGCATATGGCGCCTCTGCCTTTTGACAATATAAAGTGTCGGGGGGGTAAAAGAGACTCATCAATGATACTGTATTTAAAATGCAAGCTCTGTTTTTACTAATGTAAGTTAAATTATAACAGCAGTATTATTCTCCTGAAATAATAGGAACACCTATATTCAAAGGTGTTGTGGTATAATGTGGGTTTATATCTCTGTCAGATAAGTAACAAAACATGCCAGAATGTATAGGAAGGAATGACAAATTCCTCTCAGGTCTGAACTTCCTAAGTGACCTTTCATTTCCACCTTTTGTTCAGATGTCTCAGTTGAAACTCCTGAAAGGAATTGGAGGGAACAGTCTCTGGGTTCCGGCTGAATTTCAGTGGGATCTGGGTTCCTACTCCCACCTTTCATCCTTATGAAGAGGGACCTACTGGTCCATGAGTAACAGTGAAGAGCTGAGCCTGCTTCGAAGCTGACTGATAAATTATGGGCCGTTACTCAAACTTTTTTTCCACCACAGAGCTATTTCAAGAATCTCTGTCCTGTATAGATTTTTTTCCTTTGTCAAAGTTGAGCTGAAACTGGTCAAACTCAAAGTCATTTTGAGAGGAAGGTCAAACAAAAATATGCATGCACATGCACCCCAAAGTTGCAAAAGCTTCTCTTTTTATTTTAAGAAACAATGCTAAAAATGTTTTCCATAAGGCTAAACTTGTAGTCTCAGACATAAGGAGGGAAGAATGCTCAGACCAGAGAAAGACAAACATGGTTACAAGCCAGTTTGGTAAATTGGGATGATGAAATATTGAAAATGTTTTCTTTGCTGTATTATTCTGCTACAGTGATAGCCTGAACACTTGTTCCCAGTGTCCTCCTTTAACTGAAGAACAGCAATACTCTGAAAAAAATGTGTATACTTTGTTTTGTTAGAAGTAAAAAATCTATTCAAGTAGATTATTTCATTTTGGAGAGGTTGAACCAATTTTAAGGACAAGATTTTTTTTTACGCAGATTTGAAGCAAAATCAAAAAAGTGTTTTAAATCTCCAGAAAGTTCGTTTTATGTGGGAACATACTTTAGGGCACAGATAATATAAATGTAGTTAATTGTATGAGTGAGATTACCATTTCTGATGTATTTCCTTGTTTTAATGAGCAATAAATTTGCAAGTGAGCACTTTTGAGTGAGAACATCATGAGTCTGATCTGCAATTTTTGTTGTTTTCATTATTTTTGTTTTTGCTTTCATTGAGCATTAATTAAACACCTGAAACTTTCATACCTTATTGGAAGGTAGTTAGAAGCCTTTCAGAATTATCTCTGCATATTCAGTCCTGTGCTGGATAAGTGTTTTGGTAGCATGAAACATGATGCAGTTATAATATGCCAGATATACACACAAAATAATTCGTGTCTCACTGGAGGGCTCAGGGGATGGTTGATAGCAGTGCTGATCACTGGCTTGCATAAAGCTAATGGTATAATTTTTGTTTAGACACTCTTCTCTCTTGCATATCCTTCTTTTAAAGGATATAAATCAGAAGCTGCAAGAAGACAACCAGGAACTGCGAGACCTCTGTTGCTTTCTGGACGATGACAGGCAGAAAGGCAAGAAGGTGTCCCGCGAGTGGCAGAGACTGGGCAGGTACAGTGCTAGCATTGTGCACAAGGAGGTTGCCTTATACCTACAGAAGCTGAAAGAACTGGAAGTGAGACAAGAAGAAGTGGTGAAAGAGAACCTGGAGCTAAAGGAGTTATGTGTGTTGCTGGATGAGGAGAAGAGTGGGGGGGCAGGCAGCCGGAGCTCTATTGACAGCCAGATCAGCCTGTGCCAGCTGGCTGCCCCGAGCGCCTACATCAGGGATGTCGGTGATGGAAGCAGTACTTCTAGCACTGGAAGTACAGACAGTCCAGACCATCACAAACACCATCCGAGTACGAGTCCAGAACATCTTCAAAAACACAGGCCTGAAGGAAGTCCTGAGCATCAGAAACACAGGAGTATCAGCCCAGAGCACCTCCAGAAGCCTAGGGGTTCTGGCAGTCCTGACCATCACCTGAAAGGACCAAGTCCAGAGCATCACAAAACCATTATCAAAGCACCTGAGCAACAAAAGCACAGCAGTAGCAGTCCAGAAACTCTCCCAAAGCACATTTTGAGTAGTAGCCCTGAGCACTTTCAAAAGCACAGGCCTGGTAGTAGCCCTGAGCATCAAAAGCACAGCAGTGGCAGCCCAGATCATCTTCAAAAGCACACACCGAGTGGAAGCACAGAACATCTCCACAAAGCGAGGGGTACAAGCCCTGAGCATCTCAAGCAGCATTTTGGAGGGAGCCCAGAGCATCTTAAACATCTCAGTGGAAGCAGCAGAGAAGGTACTCTCAGGAGACAAGTAACAGATGACCTATCGCCTCACCACAGAAGTATATACAATGGAATGAATGGTGGGTCAATACATTTAGTGAAAACTCGTTTTTGGAAATTACTAAGGCAGTTTCAGTGCTGTATCAACATTTTTTGGGGAAAAAATACTTTACATGAAACTAAAGGTAACAAGTATGATGTTAGTATCAACTTGATAAATAATCAGGGTATACCCAGTTGTCCTTCTGATCGGTTTTAGGTGGTTTGAAAAGGTAGGAGGAAAAAGTCATCTTGAATGTTTGTGTAAGGTGTCAAGATTTGGGACTTGATTATGCCCTCTAGTTGGTGGGTACAAACTGTCCCTGGCAGTAGACTTGACTTGTCAGGACTGTAGGCTTGTCATATAGGGAGGCGTTTTATATGTTTCTTATCTTGTCTATATTTGAGTCAGCAGAATGGAGGTGAAAGACTCTAGTTTAATTTTCACCTTTCTAAGCTACCCTGGCTATAGTCTTGAAGATTTTAAAATTTTCTCTGGCTCCTAAAGCTTTTCAGAGCCTTTTTTTTTTTTTCTTTTTTTAAATGTATTGAATTATAACAAATGAAGGCAAGTTCTAAGGGACATTGATTGTTATTGCTGCCCTTTAGGAAGATACCCAATAAATATGCCTAGTTTTAAAGAGCTGATATCCCTGATTATTGCAATTAACTTTTTTGGGCAGAGTGGGGGAGACGAATGGATATTATTGAAATGAATGAAATGGAGTAAATGAAATGATTAAAACCAAAATTCAAATAAACATCCCTCCATGTTGTTGAAATAACTTTTTATACACTTAGCAAAATTGCTATAGCCTTCTCTTTTTTTTTTCTCTACATGCTCTGAGATCTTTTATGAAAAGAGATCAGCATCTTATTTATAGCTGAAAACTATTTTCTCAGTTCTTTATATATAGTTTTGAAATAGAGCTCTTAAACAAGGATTTTTGCCATAGTCAATGGTCTTGGATGGGGCTTGTTTTCCCATTTTAAAAGCAGCTGGGAGAAGTCTTTCTGACATCGTTGGAACTGCTTGTGAGGTGGAGACACTGAGCTGTCTGCCAAGTGCTGTCTCCAGCACTTATGTTGCTGTCTCACATCAGTCCATTTATCTGTGACAAATAACTTGCAGAATGCCTCCAGTCGAGATAACCTGCTTTATAGGTGTAAGTCCAGATTACTTTCAGTGAAATGTGCTTGTTTCACAGGACTGATAAACACCAAAGCGGTGAGTGTAGAGGCTTTAAATTAATTTTAAAGCAGATAATTAATAAAGCAAATGTATGAAAACTCTGTAAAGATGTGTAATACATAAGCTCTTAAAAGTTGGCCTTACAAATCCAAATTAAATACCATAATTCTTTCTCCATTCGGTTCTATTAAAATACAGGAACTACGCTGACTTGTAAGTAGCATGTAAGCATGTAATATGGAAAGACACCTCCGAGAGACTTCTTTCTTCTGCCCAGGATGCTCATTAGTATATTCACTGGATATGTAGAAAGGTGACTTAAGGTCTTAAGTATGTGTGTGTGCGTGTTTTCCCCTCCTCCTCCCCCCCCCGCCAAAACTCCTTCACAGAGAAGGATACAGATTTTCCTGCTTCCAGCCTGGCGGGTTCTCTGGTATTTCAATCCAAATGGTTAAGACTTGACAGAAAAAAGAATCAAGTGGAATGACAGCAGTTAAACCCTGAAATGACTGACTTAGTGCAGGGCATTTCAAATATGTACAGCTGTGGCTCAAATAAAAAGGAGTCGAAGAGGGATGTGATGTGGGAGTCTATTGACTTGAAGCAGAACCTCTCTTTTACAAAATCATTCTGCAGAGGAATTTGCACACTGATAAATTGTCAAGCTTCTCTGATGTTTATGTAGCTTGAACTAAGCACGAGGTTGATGTTAGCTGCGAGTTCACGTCTGACCTCAGTTAAGACATTTTGTCTCATTTTGGTCAAATGTCAAACTCTAAGAGCTTTGTTGTAAGGAATAACCTTTTAAACTTTAGGTAAATATTTTGTCTTCACAGTTAGGCCCAACTGCTGCTCTCCTACCCTCACCCCAACCCTCCTGCCTTATGGGGAAGAAGTTGCACAAAAGTGCTACAAGTGCTGGCCAGGATAACTTACTATCACTGTGAATATAATCTGTAAATCTTAATTTGCAGATTTTAAGTTTTCTTATATACATGAACCTGCCTACTGAGTATGGCCTGGGTTGTATGTTGACTTTATATGTATTTTTTTTAATCCAACTTTGAGTCCAGAGAGAAATGCTAAAACTAAGCAAACACAAAGAAAGTAGCATGGAAAACTGGCCTTTAATTCAGATGAGTAATGTAAAAAGATGCTATTTTTGATTTTTATCCCAAAATCATGCAGTAAATCTATTATATCATGCTGTTGGAAACTTAGTTTACTTTAAGATTCAGAATCTATTCAGTTATCAGGCATTTGATTGCACAGCCATTGGATTATTTTGCAGGGGATTTCCAGTGTTACAGCAGTACATCTGTGACTGTCATTTGTTTGACCAGCAAGAATGAAACTTTTGTGTTGATAAATGGGTAAATGGCAGAGTAACACGTTTTGACACTTCTGTGGGATGGTATATTGTAATTATGTGATTGGAGTTTACCAAGCTTGGTAGAGGTTTGGCCCAACTCCATTTGGATGACATGGAATGACATTCTTTTACTTCTGTGGGCTCCAAACCAGGTTTGAGAGCAGAAATGATTCCCTTGTGTATCAGAGCTTGCTCTGAAAGGTGCTGTACTATGCACCTGAAATAGCTGGGCCCTCTGCAAATAAGCTCTCCAAGTAGGAAGAGCAATTTCTGTTGAAATAGAAGCTTTCATCCAGAGCTAATAGCTCCCATTTAGGCTGAGTTTTGGTCTTGTTAGCGCTTGTGTGACCATGGGGAAGCAAAGTGTTCAGGAATGCACAATTATCTACACCAAATGTTGGTATGCAGACATACCAGGCAATAGAAGGAATCTCTGCAGACTTTACTCAAACTTTCCAGCTACAGTTAAAGATGTTGGAATATGTTTTGATGGTACCAGAAATACAGGGTGTGTAACTATAGTCTGTATTACAGGATATGGTTTATGCATTAATTGTTTGGGCCTCATGCATCTCTTAAGCTTCCGCAAGAAATATGAGAAGGTACCACGAGTCTAAAGTTATCTTTGGTCCATTGTCTTTCTGAAATGGGTGCTCACAACACTTAGAGTCAGAAGTGGGGCCTGAAAGCTGCATTTGGCTTCATGCTTGTTAGTTGAAAACATATTTCCTTTTAAAGACTCTAGCCAAATGCAAGATGTGCTGTAGCAATTAGTGATCTCTTAGCAATCTCTCTTAAAATGCTCTGGTTAATGAGCACAGGGCTACTTGGGATTGGAAGCTTGCTGAAATTAGATAAAAAATATCCATGGTGAAAACATTTTTACTGTGAATACTTATGCAGTCTCGAATAATACATGACAGTCTCTAATTCTGACACAAATATCTGGGTACAAATATGTGTTCAGGATTTGCAGTCTGAATGGTGTTTCTTTGTTTGAAGCAGTTTGTTATAAATTTTCTGTTTTAAAGGGTTTTGTTTTACTCTAGAGTCTGAATTTTGTGTGAGGAAAATATCGGAAGTGCTTTTTGCTTCCTGAGGCTGTGAATGAGAAAAGAAATAAAAACTGATGACTAACTGTATGTGCTGCTGGAGGTGCAAGGACTTGGTACAGAACAAATGCAATGCGGGCTCTCTTGAACTGGAGTATTGGTTGGCTTAAATGGAGGATCAGCTTAAATCTTGAAAAATTCTTCCGTAAATGTATTGTTGCTTGTAAGGAAAATAAATGAAGGAAATACTGCTTTGAGTAGAAAGAGGAAACTGCAATGTGGCTTCAGAGAGCACAATTGGGTAATAATGTTACTGAGTTAATTTCTGTGGAAATGGCTCATGTCCTGCTGCTCAAATAGTGGAATGATGCTTACATGTTACTTTTCATATAACTGAAATGAAAATAATTCTCTTGGCGTTCATAGCAGTGTGTGATACTTTGTGTAAATTAGGCTTGCCTGATGGCACCCAATCTACATATGACATTTGGAGCCTAATGGAATATTCTTTACCCTTAAGAGTAACCTGCTGTATAAACAAATGCTGATAGAATTTCTGCTATTCAGGATGAATTAATCTACTGTTCATTTCAGGGGTTTGTTATTTTAAATGTAGAGCTCTAGAAATTTTATGTCAATGGGAGTCTTTCCATCGAATTCTGTAGGATTTACGTCAGACTCATAAATCAGGTTTAGATATTACAGACTGCAGGAGAACCGGGGCCTGATACATGAGTATGTATGTGACTACATCATGCTGCATTGATTAACAAACTCATATTTTTGTGGGGTAACTTGCCAAGCTAAAACATGGCTTATAATATTACAGGTAGGAATGCTATAGAAACTCATGTCTGAGGGCTTTTTGCGCTTGATTTCCTTTAACTTCATTGGCAGAAATAGCTCTGCTTTCAATGTTTTAGTATATATTGGATCATCTTTCCAGTCTGAGTGCCCAAATCTTAATGGAAAGCGGGTTTATTTTTTTGGGAATGTTTAGGAATGGTGCAGTTTAACATGATGTCTAATGCTTGGCGTGAGCTCACTGCTTGCATGTTGTATACTAGCATTTCTGGAATGCCCAGTGGGGATTTCTGAATGTTGAGCAGTGCTGAAGGCTTAGCTGAAGCCTTGTACGACCCCCTTCATTCTGTTAATGCTTCTAGGGCAGGCATGGCAAGCAGCAAATGAATAATACCTATATTCAGTGGAAGAATTGTCAGCAAGAGCATTCTGAGTGGGATTTTCTTAAGGAGACCTTTCTGAAATAGTCTCAGAGTAATCAATGTAACTTCTTTGGGACTTTGAGTGAAGTTTTGGGAAAGAGACTATGCTGATCTTTCAGTCTTAGAAAACAATAACAAGAAAATTATGGAACTGTCAATAATCATGCCTGGAAAAATATTGGAACAAATAACTAAACTT